TAAAATGTAAGAAAGAAAAGAGGTCAGCTCTATAAAATGTGGCTCATAAAATGTGTTTTAGGTGTAAAAGTCTGGGAAGTTTTCCCAGTGGCCTCGAAGTGCTTTGCAAATGTTAGTTACCTTCTTCATTCTTAGTTCTTCCATCTATTTTCCCTTTATTTCACTGTGCATAGAGACTTTGATAATAAATCAGTGTGAATTATTCATCATCTGTAATGCAAGGCTGTAATTCAGCCTGCTGACAGCATAATCATGAGATTGAGTCGGAGGGTACAGTATGCATCTGTTATATTGCATGCATTATTCCTCTTAATGTACACTCAGGGATTATCCCAAAGTAAACGTTTGAGTTAGGATACCTCATTCTGCAGAAAGGAAAGATGTTTCACCTCCTTGTCCTTGTAATTGATTCTCTGTCTTTGTCTGAGGTTAAGTAATTCATGACAAGTATTTTTCTGTTTGAATAATCTCAAATTTGTTTAGTAAGGTTTTTCTCCTACAATTTAAAGCCTGCATAACATTATCTTTACTGCTGTATACTCAAAAAGCAATTCAACTTCTTGCTTGACTTCTGTATTTAGGAGTGTTTAGCTTATACTCCCTTCCTATGGAGGTGCTGCTTAACTTTTCTGTTTATCATTTCACTGACAGGCAAACAGCAAGATGTCTGCAGCACAGAAGGCTCTGGCCAAAGTTGATAAGAGTGGAATGAAATCCATTTCTATGTTCTTCAGCTCCAAACCTAAAGCATCAAAATAAAGACTTGTTCTTGAAAAGTGACTATTTTCATGTTAAGCTAAAGATGTCTCCTTACTTGTTAGTATAGTATATGCAGGGCATGTCTGGGTACATGGTGGAGGGTGATGAAGAGATCTGTGAGCTAGCGTGTGACAGAGCTGTTATGCCTCAATGGGGCAAGGCAGTACCATGCAGATGTTCCAGCCTGGGTCCGGAAAGCAGCCTGGATGCCTTAGCGTGGTCCACTGAGCTGAGAAGCCAGGTTTAGCGTGGTACCATACTGTACTGCTGCTTGTCCTAGAGCAAGCTCAGTCAAGGCCACCACAGGGTTTTCTCCATTGCACTCCGTTCTGGGCTAGAAACATGCCCTCCTTTGAGTTTTTAAGGAGAGGTTTTTTTCATTTGTAAGGAGCATTATTTTTTGAGACTTTCTGGAGATTTTTACCCGGTATAACACCAGAGTAGGATGACATCGTTAGATTTTTATGTTGACCCAAATCTAAGTGCTGATGTAAGCATTGCCATTGATAGCAATTTATGGAGGCAAAGATAGTGTCTGTATTGGGATTTTGGTTGTTTTGTATATGCTGGAAACAAATTGCAATAAATGTCAATGTGCATATAATGCAATAAAGTGCTTTGTGTAACAAATTTGTGCTTGTTGTATTTGCTGTGTGTTTCAAGAGTTAGATTAGGCTTCAGGACATTTCTTAAGGGGTTTTGGTATTTTCCTGTGTATCAATTTTAATCCTTAAAGAATTACAGTATCACTTTGGGCTTACATGATAAATCTCTTAACACATAGCAATATAGGGGTATTTTTATGTTTGGTTCCAAGGTCAATAGGTCCTTACAAAAAAGATTAGGGAAAGGTTTGTTTAAAGGCAAAACCGGGGCTTTTAAAGAAGCCTATTTAGAGCTGGACGTGTAAATCAAAAGCTTAAGTATGAATGTCTTGCATAAAGTTTAGTTTTATGAAGTTTTGCACAAGGTAGGACTGTTACTTAAAATGCACTACTCACTCTTGGGTGTATTCTTCCCTCATTACGGAGTATTCCTATACGTTCAGAGAGATAGCTCTCTGCTATGTTGCAACTTCCCTGATTCACAGAATTGAAAAAGAGATGTAGTCACTGTACAGGTGTATAGGTCTAGTCTATAGGTGTATAGGTCTGTATACGTCTAGTCAGTTCTGCACGACACTAACTCATAGTTTCATCCATCTGTTGTTGCACTAAGCCATTACTGTGAATCAACTACGATGTGTGTTTTAGAAAGACCCTTAAAGTATGTCATTCTTTGCTACTTCAGCTCGGTAGAGAATCTGCGAATCTGCCTGTATCCCTTGATAATGGGGACTTTCAGAGAAACTGGGAGTTTCTTCATCTGTACTAACTATGCCATTTTTCCACTTCAAACCCTCTTGTGGCTCTGTGCAACCCATGGATTACAGTGGTATCTGTTAGGTAGCATTCTCTTCCAACCAGAAATGAATGAGAAGCCTTGCTTTGTGTTGAGTGCCATTTTGCAATTGTTGGGCTTTGTATGCCTTTCAAACCAGTGGTTTTTTCAAAGTGTCAGGCATAGTTTGTAAATGGGGGAGTCAGCGTGGTTGGAATTCCAGGCGGAGGAAAATATTTGGAAATCTATGGAATTATTATCTCTCGTTATAGAGGGATTTATTTAACAAATGTATGCTCCCAATAGCATACCGTTAATGTTCCCAGTTCTAAAAATGTTTGTCTGAAGTAGATTATCTGGAACTAAAATGAAGTTTCTCAGAAAAAAATGTGCTTTTCAGGCATTCTAAGGAATCAGTACTGTAAGTCTTCCTTATCTCTGAAAATCAGCCTGTAGTACTAGTGTTTGAACATAGGTTGAGAAGTTCAGATGCAGAGACTTCATTGATTTTTCAGTTAGAATCATTATCCCATGGTGCTTTAATAAAATGCCAGTAATGAATGTCAACTTTCCGAAACAATATAAGGAGGTGGGGAGCACAGGGGACACAAAAAAACCCAGGAATTGCTATGTGGAACCGCAAAGAAATTCCTGTTATACCTGACTGCCTTGTTGTTCAGCTGTCTTTAGCAGAATTTCACCAGAAAAGTTTCCTTTTCTGACATAAACTGTCAGACAAGTTTAAAAATTAATAGTAGTTTCAATGTATGTGACAATTTCTGTGGGCACCACCTTGAGAATTGCCACCTTGCTTTTTTCCTACCGTACTTGTCTAGGCTGTAAGTGAAGACCAGCCCTGTAGCAGCACGTATTGGTTTATCCAATGTGTCCTTGCTGAGATTGGAAAGAACTAGCAGTTGGTGAGCCAAGAACGAGCAATCACAGTCATGAACTGGAAAGGTTAGATTTTGAAAAGCATTCAGCCAAGCCCAGCAGTTTATTTGACAGTCAAAGAAACACCCCAATTTCATATCCGTAGGAGAAGGGATGCGCCAGTGATGGCAACTTTCGAAAACCACCACTCAGTGCAGGATAATGTTACAAAAAAAAAAAAAAAAGAAAGAAAAATAATAGGCACATACTGTCATGTTAATGGAAAAGTTCTGTGCAGTAAGCAACATCTTGGGGAGTATTTTGGTAAATGAAAAGAAAGGAACTGTGTATCTATTAATAGAAGGCCAATTGCAAGCACCAGAAGATGTTGAGAAAGCAGACTAGCATGGGATGGACATTTGAGTGGAAAACCAAGTGTGGGAGAGGGTTACATTAGAAACAGGAACTATGAGGTAGGACAGATACATGATAGAAGCTCTTCTGCTGAATATTTAAATCTGCTAGTTTTAGGGGTGTGGGTTTTAAGAGTTCAAAAGTTTTGTGAAATAAATTTTGGAAATGCATCTTTTCATCGACTGAATAGTTCAAGAACCTTTCTTCTGAGAAAAAGTCCCAATTTCTCTGGTCAGAATTTAGGACAGAAGGAGGACAATTCTGACAGAGATGAGAGGCCTTTGTGGTGACTTCTGATCTGGGGTACCGATTTTTTCTTTCTCTGTACATGACTTTCACATCTGCCGCTGCACTCAAGGACTAAGTCTAGAGTTACTCCTCTGTGCATAGATGCGTTGTGCTTTAGTGTGTCACATCGCGACTTCAGCTGTCAGCTATGCCGTAACTTACAACAATAGTAATTTTATTAGTGACTGTGCTTTTGGTTGAGCAGGAATTTCTGCATGACAAAAAAAAATAAGCCATTTCCAAAAGCCATTAGAGCTTTCACGTGAAAACAAAAACTCTTTTCCCTTTAGGAAAGAATGAAATACATTTAGTAACTTTGAAACTTCCTCAACATGTAGCTGTAAGAAGTTATGAAGGGCATGTGGTGCCAAATACATAAAACAATATTTCCTACCACAACGAGGATTTAAATATAGTTACTATGCCTGGCCAGCAGTAGCAGTAGGTCATTATGAAGTGCTGCTTTGCTATTTCTTCCTTGGTTAGCTTAGTATGAAACAATATGCCAGCACCGTTATAGAAATGTGGTCTTACTTTATTTCTTTTTGGCATTAACATGCCATCTCTACATGTTCATGTAAATATCTGATGAGTTGTGATGCTTTTCTAGTTGTTGTTTTGGGATTCAGCAGCTCTTCCATTTCTACTTATTTAGAGTTCACATTGCAAATGGATTGACATGAGCAGGCATGGAAAACTTCATATGGAAATACCAGCATTGACTTAGGGATGTGTAAGGGTTGGACTTGCACATCGTTTTCAGTCTTAAGTAATAAACTTAGTTCTATTTGTAGAAGTGACAATTGGTGATTCGAATAATTTCAGTGGAAAAGGCAGCATAGTTGGCAGTATTTGCATTCAGATCTGAAATTTAGAAGAGTTCAGTGATGCTTGTTTACAGGTGTTCAGTTGCATCTGATGATGCTTTTTAGAGGGAAACTAAATGCATGGATGCTTATTTGAATAGATTCGTGTTTATGACTTGGGTTTTCTCTTTCTTTTTCAGATGCCTGCGCAAAGGCGTGCAAAGAAGAAATGAAAGGAGCATAAGGAGACTCGCTAATATTATTTTAACTTGCCATAATCTCAAAGCAGCTTTTAAAGGCTTTTTTTACGCACTTTCTGAAAATAAATGCTTGAAGTTAGACATGCCCCGTTCCAAGAAAAAGCAAATCTCAGCAGATTAACATTGTTAAATATGCGGTGTGTTAAACATACACTGCTTCAAATTTTATAGCTTATACACTATTGGTCTATCGGGCCCTTCCAGGAAAGCACTTACGAGCATGCCTAATGTTAAGCACATGAGCAGTGATCTTAAAGTCAGCAGTGTTGTTCGTGTGGGTAAGTGCTTTGCTGGATCAGCGCCTAAAGTCCTGTTAGGTGCTGAGCATCCTGATCCATATCCAGCAAAGCACTTACATCCATGCTTATCTTGAAGTGGAAGGGCCAGTCTAACTAATATTTGTGCATTAGTGTTCACCATAAAATCTCTCTTGGCACAATGACTCACATGCTTAAAATTAAGCACCTGCCTAAGTATTTTGCAAGGTCAGACCAACAGTATCCTTGAGCAAGTCTTAAACAATTACTCGATTTTGTATGAATTTTCTTCTTTTTTGTACTGTTTTTTTTTTTTAAACAGAGCATATGATTTTAGTGGCCATAATTACAAGTTTTAGAAGCTGCATAGGAAAATATGTTGTATGCAATTTTCTCCTCTTTCTTTTTCAAAATCTAGCCAAATTCAGCAAGATGGCCTGTTTGGACTAGAAGTCCAATGTTCAGACTTAGAATCATCCTAAATAAAAAACAAAAACATTAACTCTAGTTTTTAGGACATTTACATTTTTTGAAATTACTTCACTGAGTTTGATTTAAATGGTTTTGTCCAACACTGACCTTTTATCCAGAAGATGTCACCGAGGTCTGGTTGTGCGGACAGTCTGACTCTTGAAGGGCTAAAGCTTGAGGTAGGATGTGTGTTCAGAAGGACAGATGGAGAAGTTGTATTTTTATGTTGCTTCTTTTTTTCTAAGGGATTTAAACCTTAGAAACGTGTAAAGTAACATGTACGTTTTGTGTTGAGAACTATAACAAAACCTACATAATCCTTCAGGTAAAAAAAAATAATAATTTATTTTTTTTAATCATGTAAGAGACACTTTCTGTGGAGTGAACTTCAACCAAAATGTCAACTTGTGTCTGCATAAAACATGCAGAAAATGGATGCTAATGAGGTCCTTAAGTGACCTGTGTCAGATGCAGTCTTATGTTTTTAACTGAAATACCTGTTTATCAAACTCCCATTAATATCTAGCTCTTTGCTACAAAACTTTTTAAAAGTAATAATTGACAGGATTTTTAACATAATAAATGTGTACTCCTGTAAATTTTAACTAAGACCCCAGTTCACAGGTATCTACAGTAAATGGCCAGAATGTTATGTGAAGCTTGAATATATTTGGAGCATCTTGAATATATTTGAAGCATTCTAGGTAAGAAGTTAAAAAATATTTTGCTTCCACTCTGGCAAATGCAGGTCAAACGAGAGCTCCAAGAAGAGTTTATTAGGACATTGCCGAAAACTACATTCCAAGTCAAAGAGGCAATAGCTTATTCAGCTTTCTTTTCAACTGATTCTGATCAACTCTGTTTCAGAATATGAAAAACCTGAACTGCTAACCTTTTAGAAATCACGTATGAAAGGAGATATAATCTGAATTCATATTTTAGAAATCTGCACTGAATTCTTTTTGTTACTTTTACACTTGTCTGGTTAAGCAATGTGCACTGTCCCTTTTCAAGGAAAAAATATTTATTTTAACATAGTTTCTTAGGGAGTACTGCAAGAATATTTTATGGGTCCAAGGTGAAATTTCTATTTTTGTAGATTATATTAAAAAAAAATGCTTGAGGTATGAATAAGATTATATATGTCAGTAAAGTATGGTTCCATTTTTTGTAAGTTTTTATTTTTAATTGATGTATGAGAAAGAAATAAATACCTTTGGAATAATTTCTTGATTATTGCTTCATTAATTTCACAGAGAAATACAAAGAAAAATGCCGTGCAATCAGGCTACTAATACTGCTAGCCTCCACAAGCTCGTCAGTAATCCTTAGACTGAGTTGAAGGAAATAATGAATCCTGAGATGGATACGAATCTAAAAGTTCATTAAGACATACTCAGTGAAGCAATTAGGCTAATCCTTGAGGAACGGACTGTACAGATGTTCTGGTGAAAACCCATTTCTGTGTACACATAGTTGTTGGCCTAAGTACTCTGGCCGTTTTGATTTTCATGAATGTGGTGGTGAATCTCTGAGCACTGGCAGGATGAGGAAAGCGGAGGTGAAGAGAACAATGTCATTTTTTACATATTTCGCGTTCTTTGCCATCGTATATGTAGTATATAGGTGCTCCATCACAGGCTAACATAGAACTGATGGACAGTTCTTTTCCGTGTTTTTTGTAGCAGGCAGTTAATCAAACACAAGGGAAAAGCTGTTCCTCTGCCAAAACATTATAGTGGTGTCACCATGATGCTGTGCTAAGTGCTGACATAAGGCTTCAAGGCTTTTAGGAGAGTTATTGCCATTTCATTTGTAAAATCTGGAGAACAAGGGGCAAACACAAAGGTGGTGGACTTTTTATTTGGTGGTCAAGCTGGTTTATTGGTATTAATGAGAACCAAGCAGGAAAAGCGGTAAGATTTGTACCATTTCATAAACCTATCACTCACCAGCACTTATCTATAGAAACAGAATTACCAGTGCTCACAACAAAGCACTAAGGCAGCTTCTATTTAAATATGAAACAGCATTTACGCTGCTTAGCTTGATAAAGTCAATTCGCAAAGTAATGCAAAGGCTAAAGAAAATGGCACATTGCTTTATGTCTCTAAAGAACAGTCATATCTCAAGTGTCTAGTCAAGTGTCTCTAGCACCCTCTGCGTGCACAACTGCTATGTCTCTTAGGCTCTGTCACATTGCAAATCGCCCAAATTTTTCCAAAGCTCCCTTTTAAAATGCAGTTGGTACCCTGGGATAGTTGCAAAGCAGGCAGCGTTATCACAGGTAAAACAATGCCCCAGTGAGGCTCATTAGTGTTAAAAAAAAAAGGGAAGCTAATAGAAAAGTGAACAGCTGTGCTTTAAAATCTGGGTTCTGATTTGGGGTTATGTTCACAGAATCACAGAATCGCAGAATCTCCTAGATTGGAAAAGACCTGTAAGATCATCTAGCCCAATCATTAACCTAATGCTGACAAGCCCACCACTAAACCATGTCCCTTGGCACTATATCTACACGGCCCTTAAATACCGCCAGGGATGGGGACTCCACCACTGTCCTGGGTAACGCGCTCCAATGCCTGAGGACCCTATCAGTAAAGAAATTCTTCCTAATATCCAATCTAAACTTCCCTTGGTGCAACTTGAAGCCATTTCCTCTTGTTCTATCACCTGATACTTGACAGAACAGGTCGACTCCTACTTTGCTACAGTCTCCTTTCAGATAGTTGTAGAGAGTGATAAGGTCTCCCCTGACCCTCCTTTTCTCCAGGCTAAACAACCCCAGTTCCCTCAGCCGCTCCTCATAAGACATGTTCTCCAGACCCCTCACCAGTTTCGTTGCCCTTCTTTGGACATGCTCCAGTGCCTCTATGTCTTTCTTGTGGTGAGGGGCCCAAAACTGAACACAGTACTCAAGATGCAGCCTCACCAGTTCATTGTGTCCACCCTTTGTCTTTTCCCTCTGAGAGCCTGATTCTTTTTCAAAAGGTCTTTTTCAAAAGGTGCTGACTTGGTACAGCCTCACCTCGCCTTGACTTCAGGCCAGCCAAGCAAACTTCTTCAGAACAGACACCCGCATGCACGAAGGTGGTCAAAATCAAAGCTTTCTGCAGCCCTACAAATGAGTGAAGCTGGTCCTGGTTGTGGATGGAACCACCAGCCGCTTCCTCTCGGATTCCCTGTGCAGCTGGCACTGCTAGAGGTTCTTCATAAACAGTTCAAACTTGATTTAGTAGGAGTGAAAGTGAAAAAAAATAGCTGATGTACTTTCTGATCTTGTAGTTACTCCTACAATGGAGAAACTGAGCAGAATGGTTACAGAGGTTGGTAGCCAGGGATAACTGAAGCTTCCTTGAAGGAAGTCATTAAGGAGTTGTTCCACCTGAAAGTTAGGTCTCTATGCACCTCTTCTCTGTTATTAATAGAGAGCATCCTGAAAAGGTAACGTCGGTGGTCCAGGAAGAATCATCCACTGGAGCAGTGGCTTTTTCTCATGCACAGGGAGGTGAGCCTAGACACTGTGTGCCTGCACACAAGATTTGTAGGTGGCTGTCTTCAGTATGACTGTAGTGCTGTCAAGAATTGGAGGCAGTCCTGTATTTGAGGAGTTGAGTTTAGCCTCCGGGTCTGACAGGATAGGTGAGGCTCTCAGGATCTCTTTAGCTTTCCAATAAGTATTGTTTCTCTCTCTCTTCCCTCTCCTCATTTTATAAATACATAATAAACTTAATTCTTAACCTGTTCTGTAGGGAGGGGAAACTTCCTCTCTCCACCCTACAGAATATATCCTGCCCTGTTGCCGTATTGTTTTCCTTTACAGCCCACTAAAACAATCACTGAAATTTTGCCCTATTACACCCCATCCCCACCCACCCCCACCCCCCCATGTTTATTGTTCTATGTTTGAGGGGGGAAAATTTGCAATGTTTTTGCCGTCCACTCTCTGGTGCCTGAAACATTCCCATCAGCCCACAAGGAAGCACTGAGTAATTGGACAAGACCATCTGCTTTATCTGCAAGCAACGAAGGTACAGAAGTTGATCTGGGCCTCTCCCCCCTCTTCCCAGATGTACTCTTGCAACTGATTTTAAGGAGTTTTAGCCCCTTAATTTCCAGTTATTGTTTCTCAGCTGTTAACTGCCCCCTGCCCCTTTGGCTGCGATGCTGTGACTTATTGTGCGAGGCGCACTCAGCCTTTCAGTGTGAATTAAAACAGCGACCAACAGCCAGAGGGTCGTAACTGTTTAAGCTGTTAAGGCTCAACTGAAAGAGTATATCCAAGTGTACTTCAACTCTCCGTCCCTCGGCCTTCAATCTATAAACTGTGAATTATGCCTCCCTACCTCATCACAGTAAGTTGTGACAGTTACTAGCTCAGAGGATTACAATTTAAATAAAAATACGTTTAAAACTGAATCCAGTGAACTCAACCTGAACTTCTTTGAATTCCCATATGCCCACCGCAAGCAGGAATACCTCTTTGGGGACCAGACCTACACGGAGACACTGATTTGCTCCGATTTCGGGAAAAGCAATGTGAGATTACT